GAAATGTCTGTTCCCAGGGAAAAGCATAATTTGTGTGTGCCTCTAGGATGCCTCATTGCCGAGAAACAGTGTTTTAAGCAAAAATATGTATGGCCAATTTTTTATCATTTTATCACGAACCCTGGGCTTTTTGGACCGCTTATTTGGCTGCTTGTCTTCTCATTCAGAATGAACATTGCTACTTTCTCGCGCCCCAGACTCTTTACAAAAGGGGAAGGGTGTTGGGCAGGGAAAGGGGGGGAGAGGGGATTTTATAAACTCGATGCACTAGCCCTCTATCTAAGGCTGCTAAATAACACCCCAAGCCGATATTGACTTGCGCCTAGTCCCATTCTTTTTGTTATATTTTGTAGTTTTGTATAAACTGGATGAAAATCTCAGTGATATATCTACCTCGCCTGCAGCGGCATGAATCATTTTTTCGTGAACCAGTGTCCCTCCTCTGTCTCATCAGTCGTATTTCGCTTTCCTAAACAATGTACAATGCGGAAATGACGTTTAGTTTTCCACAAATAAATATCTAGCTTGGTTTTCTTGTAGATACCTACGTGGACTAACTCTGAGTTAGTGTAGAAACGATTTCAATTAACGTTAAGGTCTTGTGTAAACCCGATAAAGAATGAGTAATTGTGCTTTGCGTTCCTAAGTAGCTGCCAAGCTTTGACAATTGTGTGTATAATTGAGCGACCGGTTTCTAAGACCTCGAGGTCGTTCAAAATAAAAATTGTCAACCAAGGAAACGTAAAAACGTCAAACCTTCCATTTCATGGTAAGCCTGGAACTCTGGTAAGCCTCTTGCGTTTCGCCGCTCGAGAAATCGTTTTCCACAGTTCTGCGTTGAATATGCGCTGTGACGTTTTCTAAGTACTCGATTGTCTGCTGTTGTTGCTCAAAGCGTGATTTCAGCACTACAATCTCACCAATACAATACAGTAACGCTGGGAATAGGCCAACTAGTGCCGTTACAAGGACAGCAAACGTCCAAAAAGGCAAAACAATGGCCCGCGTTTGGGATTTCTGCATGTTTGTCGTCTGTGAGGTATCAGTGATTTCCTAGAAACACCAACTGGGACGTCAACATTGATTGAAGAATTTTTCTAGCAAAGTCCACCTTGTCACGTGACAGTGATTCAATCAATGGCCTATTGTTCTCAAATTCAACAGCTGATTCGTTTAATTTTATTATTCATGTTCAATGCGCTCACTGGACAGGCTGCCAGTTCGTTATAACAAGGGTCGGGATAGTAAAGTTTAGCTTGGTTTCGAGAGTTTACAAGCTTCCGAGAAATCACGGCTAACTGTGTCACACGATAAGATAACGGTAACGCTTTTGGTAACGGTAGCATACGCTAGAGAGCTTTCTCATCAAGTGACGTAAAACTAAACCCAAAATAACCCGAACGGCTAATCGGGACAGGGTAAAATGCCTCACGGAATCAATGACTGCTCAAAGTTGAAACAGGAATACTGTTCGGAGTGCGAAAAAGCAAGAGTGCCAAGTCAATATTGGAATTAGTTTTGTTTCTGATTGGTTGATAAAGTGGCGCGAATTTTCTTGACCTATCAAATAGGGAAATAAACTAAACCCTGCAAGATAGCGACCACTATCGATTAACAATTGAGAACTTCTCTTAAGAAAGAAGTTAAATATTTAGAGTGGGACAAATAGAAAACAAGCTGCGTGAGGATTTCGGGGCGTATGCATACCATATTATCCGCGCTGAAAAGATAATTCAAAGTTCAGGATAAGTGAAAAGGCGTCAAGAAGCGAATGCGAAATGATAATAAAAACAAGAAAAGAGCGGGAAAACAGGAGGACAAAGTCACGATTGGATTTAGTTTTGCATCTGATTTGAGCAAACTGTCTCGACCAGTCAAAGAGGGAAATCAACTAAAATTTATGCGATCAAGTATTACTCTCAATATACAATTGACAATAAAAAGTTTCCCACTAGAGTAGTACAAAGAGAAACTATATATATTCATATATTTATCTGCGCTACAGAGGTTAATTTACTGGCGAGCAATCACCTTTAAGGTTCATATTTCTAATTCAAAGTCTTGTATACTGAAAGGATAAGTTCAGGTAAAGTGCATAGTGTTGCATTTTTTTCCTTGGGAGTGAGCCGATTACTTATCTAAAGCACCAACGCAACTGGAACAAAAACTAGTTTTCAAGCAAAGGTGTAGCGTTTTAATATGTTTTAACAAAATGAATCGAAGACCAAGGGGAAATGA